ACTACTACGACGATGACGACGACTCCTACTACGACCTCGACTACTACTACTACTACTACTACTACTACTACAACTACAACTACTACTACTACTACTACTACTACTACTACTACTACCTACTACCTACTACCTACGACCACTACCACCCGCCACTTACTACCAACCACCCACCACCCACCACCCACTACCTACTACCTACTACCTACTACCACTACGACTACGACGACGACTACTACTACTGCTAGTACTACTACTACTACTACTACTACTACTACTACTACTACTTCTCTACTACTACTACTACTACTACTACTACTACTACTCCTACTACTACTACTACTACTACTACGACTACTAGTACTCGAACTAGTACTTGTACTAGTTTTATTTCTAGTACTGCTACTACTACTACTACTACTTCTACTACTACTACTACTACTACTACTAGCACTACTACTACTAGCACTACTACTACTACTACTACTACTACTACTACTACCACGACGACGACGACTATTGCTACGACTACACTACGACTACTACTACGACTACGGCGACTGCGACTACGACTACGACTACGACTATGACTACGACTACTACGACCTTGTCTACTACTACTGTTACCAGAATGACTCATACTACTAGTTCTCGTGCTTGTTGCAATTTTTAGGCTTCCATTTCTCAGAAATTTAATTTCCATTCCTGCGTTTATTGAAACTTTTTGATGGCCCAGGGACAAGATCCAGGTGGCGGGCATTCGAGACCATCACGAAGCTTTGAAGGCGTTGCTGGCACGCACAAGCTGTGCCAAACGAGCTGTTGCTAAGCAAGCTGAGGACAGGCTGCTTGCCGAGACTGCAGAGGCTGAAAGGAGTGCAAACCAGGCGAGCCGGTCTGTTGCGGACGTGATGAGCGACAATGTGAGTTTCAATGGTTTCAGATCATCCAGGCAAGGAAGGACGCCAGGAGGGCAGAAGAGGGCCTTTCGGCAAAAGCTCGCGTGCGCAGCCTCAGTGAGCGGCAAGGCAGTCGTGAGAGTTTCGTGTGTGCTCCGCGGGATGTTCGCTTCTTCAAAGCACAAGGCCCTAGACCATGGCACGAACGCAAAAGAACGAAATGGTGCAGAAAGCAGGATCAACTCCAGGAGAGCATGTAAGCGAATTCACAAGAAATCAGGCCATTGCGGCCATGCCAAATAGCTTGCCGAAGATTGGGGCCGTGGCTGTGGCACTGCTGGAATTGGTGGTTTCGACATCCAGCTTGCCGGACCAGTTCTGCGGCCGTTTGCGCAGTGGAGAACAACAAGTGCTTATCAAGGAAACACTCCGCGACCCTCGTGCAAAAATACATCTGAGCTGCGGCACGTGTGCGAGACCGAGTCGCCAGAACCGTACCGAGACTAACAGGATCACCAGCCCATCCCAGCCTCCCTCGCACGAGCCGACACCATGCAAGACGTTGCGGTCGTGGCGCCTGCACCAAAGGACATTTCTAACGTTCCGCCGAGCATGCACGCAGGGTCACACAGGTTAGGCCCTAACAAGGCTGGTGCTGCTGACAAAGAGGTGAGCCTGCGGTGATGCAAGCTTTCTGCAGGTGGGCAGGCTGGATGGTGTTTATGTTCTGCTCCATGTAATCGTAATTCAGGGATATCAGTGAGCAGACGAGTGCCAAGCGCATGCTTGCATTGGAACCAAGGAACTGGAGGAAGCCAGAGAACAGATACAGCTCCTGAAGGTTGCCGGGCAACAGGCCTCAATGGGAAGCTGGTGCTCGGCATGGTCCCTTGAAACCTCGTCTTCTCTCTCGGTTGAAGGTCGTTGCATTCCAGCAAGAGCTGGAAGTTGTTAGGAGCGAAAAGGCAGTCCTCAGCTTAGCTGCACGACGTGTCTTACACCTCTCTGATCCCACCCAGCTGCACAGTGTGTGCTCCAGGCGCTGCGGCACATGTTGGACACCGAGAAGCAGGCGAAGATGGCCGTACATTAGGAGTAAAAAGTGCCATCCAAGCACTTCCCCGGATGCGCTCGCCGCGATTCAAGCAGCAGCGTTTCAATCACGACAGCGTCGGTTCAAGCACCTATACTGGCGGGCCCGCAGATGGAATATGATTCCTTTTTATTTTAATTAAACTCGCTTTTATTCCATCTTATGTTTTGCGGCGGCCGCGTGAAAAAAATATTCCAAACAACCCTCTTGGAATATGTCGAGATATAACAACAGCAAAACATTAGGAATCCACTGTAAAAAACAAGGTAATTATGGCTTGTTTTGTTTGTTTATTGAAACAGCTGAGATATCTTCGCACCAGACTATATATGTGTTTACATAGTCATGCATTGCTATATGTGTTTTTATGCATATATTTTTACATATGTGTATTCAATATTCCAAGAGGGTCGTTTAGAATCTCCGAATTAAAATAAAAAGGTTTTGAAAATCATCAAAAACTTATTCCAAGTCATTTCCTTTTTTTTCCATATTCCATCTGCGAGCCCGCCAGTATAACAGATGGAAGCCAAAGCGATTCGCGCAGATTCACTAGTTCTGGCTTTTCGGAATTAGTTATCAATTTTTGCAAGCCGTTTCAGCTTCTCGTTTCCGTTTGAGAGGTGTTATATATGGTTTCGGAAGATTCCTGCGTCCGTGGGCGAGTCCCCGGTTCACGAACTGTGTGCGCGAATCCGCACTCAGCGCGCCAAACCCTGGTACCCGAAGAAGGCTCCCTCGACTCGCCGGGCCTGCGTGCCAGTGCGCGAGTTTTCCGTGCACGAATCCGCCGGGCAAATCTCGGGTCTGGCACGACTAGTTCTCTCAGTGCGCGAACCGAAGCTTTGCTAGGCGCACGCACGTGCCGAAGTGGAGCTCGAGCAGCTGCAGCTTCGGCCTTGGTTCTGATGCACGAGTGAAGACAGTTTTGGAGCAGGTCCGGTCGACCATGGTGAGCTTGTTGGCTGTGTCTGGCCCAGGAAAGACAGAACCCGGCTTGGTGCAGAAGTCGACCCAGCCCCAGAGCAGACAGAACAAAAGCAAGTATGAATGCCAGCAGGAGTGGGCATCCATTCAGTGTCAGGAAGAGCTTCGGAGCCTGCATGGAAAGTTGGAGGCCGGGCTGGTTTCGTTCATGTCACAGGGAAGGACTCAGACAGAGGGATCGAGTTGATCGTGATCGTGATGATGCTCCCCTCTAACCAAAAACCCTACTCTGAACATCCTGTCTACAGTAGCCGAAAACCCATTCCCGCAAGAGCACCAAAAACTAAGTTTCGGCAGCAGCCGCAGGAGAGCAGTAGTACTCGGAGGAATAGGAGGGATGGGAGGGGCAGCAGCAGCGGCAAAAGTGGTAGTAGCAGGAAAGCGAGGAGTGTGAGGGGCAGTAGGACACTAGGAGCAGTGCACAAAGCACCTGTAATGGGAAGAGCAGCAGTAGCAGCAGCAAGTCAGCAGTGGTTGCTGTCGTTGTTTTTGCCTTTGCATTGTTGCTAGCTCCCGAAGACCAAACTTAAACAGACAGGAGAAGCTCGTGGCGGCCGAGAATGTGCCATCGGCCCTGGTTCGGCAGCTGCAAGAAACGCGTTCGCGGCTCTCCACAGAGGTGCGATTCCACTGTAAACTTAGAAGCTCGACATCTACACGTTCATTCTGGTCGAATGACGCAGGCCTCAGAAACCGAGAGACTGCGGCAGCAGCTTCAGGCACGCTGCTTACCAGTACCAGTATCAGATCGGTAAAGGTGTAAAAATTGAATGGAAGTTTGCATGTGGTCTGGACATCGTTCGTCTTGAAAGCACAGAGACTCGCACTCTGCACTCTGTCGGCACTCTGCACCAGCCAGAGGAAAGCCGTTATCTCGTACCCTGCTCGTGTGCCATCTCTAGAGTCTCTAAGAGGCGTATGAATCACTCGAGCCGCGTCTCTCAGTCGTTCTCCGGAGACGTTGTGCTTTGACTTCCGCCTCCATTGCGCAAGTTGAGGTGGCAGAACAAGGAGCTGCACCACACAGAACGCCAGCAACCTCGGCCTTGTTGCGGCCATTACAGGCCCCTGAATTGACCACAGCTGAGGTGGGTGAGTGCCCTTCAGAATCTCGAGCAAGAGCTGCATTCCCAGAGCTGTGACGATGAACATGCTGGATGCGTGTTCTACTTATGTATAATGTATGTATGCATGCATGCATGCATGCATGCATGCATGCATGCATGCATGCATAATATATATATA